GAAAAACCAATACGCTCTTGCAGTTTCACACTTAACTGTCATAAACCATTTCGCGAGCTATATCAGCTCAACTCCACATCTAAACAAAACATACAATAATAAAAAAGCGATGATGTGCAACTAGGACGCAAGGCCTAACACAAAGTTCTCACGCCCTCAACATGAATTTTGATTTTCACCGGCTCCTAGGCATGGATTCCGATATCATCGATCACAGTTTCGTGTTTCCTGTACACTATTGAGTTGAAAACACGTTTTCATAATACCGGACAAAATCAAGAACCATAGAACTCATATGGTACTTCCTTCTCATCAGGAATCCCCGATTTTGTCCGGCTCTCAGGCATAGATTTCGATGTCACCGATCACAGTTTCGTGTTTCTCGTACACTATTGAGTTGAAAACAGGTTTTCATAATACCGGACAAAATCAAGAACTATAGAACCCATATGGTACTTCCTTCTCATCAGGAATCTCCGATTTTGTCCGGCTCTCAGGCATAGATTTCGATGTCACCGATCACAGTTTCGTGTTTCCCGTACACTATTGCGTTGAAAACAGGTTTTCATAATACCGGACAAAATCAAGAACCATAGAACTCATATGGTACTCCTTCTCATCAGGAATCTCCGATTTTGTCCGGCTCTCAGGCATAGATTTCGATGTCATCGATCACTGTTGGGAGTCTCGAGTTTACGGGTATCATGTTTGCCATGGAATTTTCGGTTGAAAATACCGTTTTATATTGACAAACTCAGGTCATGTTTCTGGAAGTCCGGTACTGAATTCAGTGAATTGGTGTGTGAAAGTACTGCGCTGGGTTTTACGTTTTGTAGATTGGGTGCGGGTATACCTACTGGAGTGAAACGATACTAAGTTATGAATTGATTTAAGGCTGGAGTACGTATTTTTGATTTTTGGAACTGCGATGAGTAGCGTTTGTAAAATTGTTGGATTTAGCTGAGTTGCGAAGGAGAGTGGTGAGGTATTTAGTGGATTCTTCTTGGTATTTTATGCGTCATTTTTATTGGATGAATAATAGATTGAATAGTATTGGCTGTTGTGCTAGCTTCCATCTAGTTTTTCGTTTGGTTGAAAACTGCCATTATTTTCTCAGGAAAATTGACGTACCCTAATATTTTTTCTGTTGTTCTATGTGATTTGCAGTCTAAATGCCAACAGAACGTTAAGAGAAAATGCGGAGAGAAATGGACAAGAGATAGAAAAAGATGTATTGACCAACCGACTTCAAGTTTGAAGAAGAACGTGAAACTCTTTTTGCAAGTTGTTAATTTACGTAATATAAATTAGGAAAACAGTATATAGAATTTACGAGGTTTCATTTAATTAACTTGAGATGGCAGCAACAGATGAGCCTGAAGAATCAAAACATGGTGAGCAAAACATCAAAATCGAAAAAAAACGCAAAAAGAAGAAAAGTAGATTTTCTATGCAACGACTATAAATATGCGACTATCGTTTCTCCTGTCCACGGCAATCAAATGAAGTTCCAACTGATGGCCTTGAAATGAATACTAATCAAGAACATTCTCAAACACAAATTGCAGATAATAGTGTTGTACCTCTCACTCAATCAAACTCGCATAATGGCGATGGTACGCGAAACAGGCTTCTGTGGGACAAACTTTTCTTCTGTTCCGAGCCCGTAAGCCCGAACCCGAACATAAAAATTGTTGTCTCGTTCCGTAAGCCCGACCCCGTGAGTAAATAATGTTGTCCTGAATCCGTCTGTCCTGTGAAAAAAATCTACGGACTTTTTTGTTCCATAATTTTTTGAAAATTTTTTTCTGTTGTGATATACCGTAACTTTACACGAGTCGCTTAAAATATCAAACTTATTTTTATAAAAAATCTACATGACAAAATTTAAGCCTAATTTATTTGATTCTAAACTTAAAACTTTCTGTATAAAAAAATGTTTTACATCCACTCACTACCTCAGAATCGAAAGGAAAGAACTGTAAACCTAGTTTTAGATATGAAACATCTTCTCAAGTTTAAATCCAGACTATTTCGCCTCTCCAGGTTAATTTTTATTAGTTATTATAAAATTACGATTTTGACTTGATAGTTTCATGTTAAATGCAGCTAATTTTAGAATTTTATTCTACAAAACTTGATATTTTGACAATTCATGGTCATTGTCAAAAGTGAAAATGTACACTACACAAAAAGTTTTGATTTTTGCATTTTATAATTCTTACACGTTCAAGAACAGGTAAAATTCTCCCTGCGATGAAAAAGTTAAATGATGATGAGCTTGGTGAGTTACTCGGCACCCAAACATTGATAAAAGATAATCCAAAAGAAACGGTACTGGCAAAGTCGGCCATTGGTAGACATTACCAGGCGACTGGACATTTGATTACACCGAATGACTTTGAAATTCTCACTAGTGAACAACACAAATACAAATTGTTGATAAAAGAATCACTCTTGATACGATCACAAGAACCAATACTAAATGGTACAGATCATTCAGCACCGTTATACGTCTTGAGGGTACATTTTCACTTTTCACAATGACCGTGAATGGTCGAAATATCAAGTTTTGTAGAATAAAATTCTAAAATTAGCTACAGTTAACATAAAATTATTTCAAAACTCGTCGCCTGTTGATATTAAATTTGTATTGACTTGATAATATTACAAGAACTAAACATTTGAAGTTGTAGTATAATTACAATCAAAAGACAAAACTTACGGAACAACATTTTTCTGCAACTTGTCCTGAGCCTGTGAAATTTTTTTCTTTGCCCTGAGCCTATGAGTCCGAGCCTGTAAATTTTTTTGTCCCGACCCCGTCTGTCCCGTCCTGGGGGACAGACGGGATGGGGTTCGGAACTGCCCCGCAGGAGTCTAACGCGTAAATATAACTTCAAATTAATACTAAATGAGTTGACATTGATTACGTGAAAATGTTTAGCTAAATTCTTGGCTGTTCTAAGCATTTCATTCTCATTTTTGTTCACCAGATAACGATAACGATGATATCCAAATGAATGAAAAAGGTAATGAGAGAAAATCAACGACAACAACAAGAAGAAAACGAAAAGTGTAATTTGATTAGTTGAATGTAAAATTTTAGAATTGAAAGGGCTATAAAATGAGCTATAACACATTCTTGCAAATCGTAGGCTTGTTAGACTTATGGAGAGCAAAAATGAAAGACATATTTTTCGTGCTGTCCGATTAATTTCGCTACTTTTGGTGATATGGGGCTTCCTACGTCGTCAAAATCGAGAAAAAATGGCTGATTGAGCGCAATTAATCGTGCGCTTAATCGCGACTTTTACGCAGAAGTTTTTGCTGATTAAGGTGATTTTGAAAAAAAATCGTCGATAAATCTCGATTATCGCTGAAATCGCAAGTAGTCATCGATTTTTTTAAAAATGCATGATGTTAGCAATAATCGCGCTCAATCGAGATTTATCGACGATTTTTTTTCAAAATCACCTTAATCAGCAAAAACTTCTGCGTAAAAGTCGCGATTAAGCGCACGATTAATGGCGCTTATAGCCATTTCTTCTGGATTTAGAAGACATGGACTTTCTCAAATTGAACGCTGTTTGATGAAACAGTGCTGTAGAGAGCTCAAAGGCGTCTTGATTATTTCAGGAATGTTTTCTGTACACGATGAGGCAGTTATAAGAAAAGTACTAGAGAGAAAAAGCAGCTCCATAGCTCCGGTGGTACCAGATGGCTCCACATGAGTTCCAGGCAGCTTCACGCAGTTACACAATGAGCCTCAATCAGTTCCACTCAGCTCCAATGAGATCTCACCCTCTGGAACTCATATGGAGCCGTCTGGTACCACTGGAGCTGTTGTACCAGATCGCCAGCTCCACTGGGTTGTCGATGTTTTAGAGCTTCTACTAAAAATCTTTGAATTTTTAATCTAAACCACACTAAGAATAATGCGACATCTCATTTTGTTTAGGAAAGTGTACTCTCGCTCGTGGAAACTGAAGTATTCATCTAAAATTCATCGAAGTTAGAGGATTTTTAGCAGCCTTTATTTCACGGCTTTTCAGACACTCCCAGAAACCGTAAATACTTTTAAACGCAATACGTATATCAATTCAAAAGCGTGTTCGGCCAAAACTGATCGCAGATTCGGACTCTCCATAGTCGGTTATCAACAAGTTTTGAATCAGGTTACTCCGGGAAAAAAAATTTCCATTGTTTTGCAAAAGATTTTTTTACAAAAGTCCCGGAGCAAGGGCTAAATGAGGCTGAAACTTTTTTCTAAAATATCCTGATTCAAAACTTGTTGCGTACAACGTAACCGAATCCAAATCTGCGATCAGTTTTGACCGAGCACGCTTTTAAAATTTGTGTCTCATATTCACTAGAACAAAGCCACTAGACACACATGCTTTAACAAATAAAAGATAGATTCTAGCTAAATATCTCATTACGTGCCTGCTTGATGTTTATTGTTCGTATAAGAATCCACTTAAATAGTTAATTCTTGTGTTAACGTTCTCGCTTTTGATAATGAGCTTTAAAATTGGCTGTTAGAATCTTTCGGCAGCCGAAAAGACGTAAAAGAGGGAGAGAAACTGATTTTAGACTTAAACAAAAACAAACACCTCTTCTTGTAAACCGCCACTAGATGGCTGAACGTCATAAGAGAAGAAAAGTGTTATTTTCATGATACAGTAAAATACATGGTGTGGCAATATCTGAACTTTTGGATATATATATATTGGTTAGTTTGCCTTACTGTACTTTTTGTTATAACAAAATAATTTAAAAATCAAAACTACGAGAAAATAGAGAGATATACACACACAAAACAAGTATGAACATCTATTCTAAAAACTAGCCACCTGCAAGTTGTATGCTAAGAAAAAATTCAGATATACAAAGATAAATAAACTGTGACGAATGCTCAATAATTTAATTCAGTTTTTATATGGACTACAATTGATTTAAACACCATCGATTTTCTTTATTCTAATAAAAAATTATTTCTAAGAAATATGGTTTTTAAATCTGAATCCATTACTTTCGTCTGTTTTTGTCAGTTGAATGGTTGTCTTATTCAATTTTTGTGGTGGTTGATGATCGTTATTTGAATTCTCCTGTATTTCATTAAGAAAATTATCTTTCCAATGATATTGTTGTTTAACATCATTAGTTAATTCATTGAATTTAATCTGATCAATATCTGATATTTGTGTGGACGGAATTATATCACTTTCCATATGTGTTATTCGGATAAAATCATCCAAATGTTGTCTCTGACTAATTGTTACTTGAATTTCATTAAAAAAGTCATTTTTCCAATTTGTTTCATCAACTAATACGGCTAACGGCTGTTCTTCAAAATTATCGTTACCAGAGTTTATATTTGGCTGAGATAGTGATGACGAAACGGCCAGTATTTCCATATTGATCTCATTTTCTAAATACTCATAATCATCAAATTGATTCACCACATCTTGAGACTGTGCTAATAATGGCTCAGTGAATCGAACTCTTTTTTTTTGTTTAACGTTTTGTACAGGAAAATAAGGTTCATCAACAATCGTATTATAAATTTCATTATCATGAACAGACATTAATGAATTTTCTGATTGTTCGAATATGGCTTGTGGAAGTTGATCATTCCGAAGAGGATAAGGATTTAAATGTTGATCATTGTTCTCCAGCATCATATTTGTTTCATTACATTTTTCTAATATATCATCAACAAATAAATCTTGAATTTTTCTAATATTCTTATTCTCATTTATTTCCTTATTTGATTTATCATTATTTAAAAATTTTAATAGATTATTGATATAACCAAATTCAATAGATGAGTGATTACCAACATCGTTCACGAATTTAGTCAAACAATTATTCATTTGTTCATGTTCATCTGTTGTTTTAGTATAATTTGCTACTTCTCGTTCAGAATCATCTATTACTGCGGAGGATATATCACTGCAAACACAATTTTCGTCTTTGGTCTGATGCATAATATTTTCTGATAATTCAATGATACTATCCACTGATTGTGTGCGTAAAAGCTAAAATAATCACGGAAAATGATGGAAGTCAAGCAGTCGCATAACGCTAATATAAACAAAGAATTAAGGAAGATAATGGAAAAGAAAATGGGAAGTACATTTTCTCACATGTACACAATGTAATGATAATTTGTAGATTTAGTTTAGTGACTTACAAATTTTTTCTCTCTTTTCAAATAACTGAAGTTTGAACTAAATATATCAACATAGTTATTCATATAAATCTATTCTTTAATTAATGTCATAGAAAGAGGATAGATTTATCTAGTGGCATGGCACATTCTTAATTATCAGGATTTCAATCGTACGAAAATCAGATACGAAATCTTCTCATTCTTTAATATTCCAGAATGTTCTTCTGCTTGACAAGAATTGTTAGAATAGATTAGAGTCGTTATAAATTGACACAGTAAACTGCAAACACACGATATGCCGAAAATTAGTTCCTAATACATACCTTCACATTTGTTGCTTTTGGTTTAACAGACGAAAGCGAGTGCGTTTTTAACGATTGTTGTTCACGTATAGTATATTTATCAATTTTCGTTTGTATCAACTTTTTCTTTGAACATGTTCGATGTTGATCAGTGGAAATCGTTGCTAATGGATGAGTCATCGTTGTATATTTATCGATTTTTGATTGTATGAATTTTCGTGGTCTTGTAGCTAATGTCTCACCATCGTGAAATGTAACATCGAAAATGTCATCATTAGAATATGTTTCTTCACCATGATCACTGACTGTAATAGAGGATACTGTCTGACTGTCTTCAATTATTCTGAAATAATAAGTAAAGAATCAAGATGATTGCCGAGTGAGAAGATGGGAGACGAACGGGGTCAGACTCCCTCTTCTGTACAAAAACACGTGCTGAGGAATCACAAGAAATTCTTGATCAAAAGTTCTTAACTGCTAGAAAAATCTTGGTGACGCATATCCATGAGATATCAACTAAAAAATAGTGACTTCGATTTACCTCGACATTTCCTTGATACTCTTGGATCCTTTTTGTACGTAACGTTTCAGCGGATATCTGAAGGACATTGAGTGTGCACTTGTATTACTCGTTGACGTGTCATAGTAAAGTGACTCTCTTGCCCGAATATAGGCATTATGAATATCATTTAGATTTTCTTGAACTTGTGAGTTTATCGCATCATCATCTAACAAATATTCATTTGCTTTTGTTAACGATTGTTTTTCCTGTTCCTGAACATAATGGGCTGTTGTCGTAGCCTGTACCTCATCATCAAATACTTCAGTATCGTCATAATTAACACTATCTATGATCATTATTGTTTGAGCATCATCTTTACTTTGCATTGACGATGATCGCATCTCATTGTCCAAAAACTGTTTGACATTCTTACTATTAATCAATGTGATAGTAGTTTTCTGCGACGAAGATGGTGGCAGAATGGTAGACAACTGTTTGTATTCACATTCTTTCAAAAAATCGTTTTCTTGGCCCTTTGCTTTTGCCGATGCCTCGAAAGAAAAATAAGCTTATTTTTAATCGACTTGTTGTCTTTCGCAGGAAGCGTTGGCTTTTTGGAGTGTTTCACCGAAACTGCCATAAGATCTCTTATGTTGTTTAAGTTTCCTTTGTTATTAGCAAAAATATACCGATTGTATCTAATTATTCGTTCGGGTAACAATATAAAACAAAAGAAACTTACATGTTTAGGATAGTTTATGTTTAAAAACATGTCTTGGAAATTGAATCAAACGTAGATCTAAAACTTTAGTGTGGAATAAATCAGAAATTTCTATCTGATAGCTGAAAAGCGACCTTAACGTAGCATACCTTCACAGAAACGTTTTTACGTACATTCGTGATCTTGGACAAGGAGAAAGTTTATTTCCAATCAGATTATCTGTCTAATTTTTTCCAGCAGATTACAGTGATACTATTCAAATTTAAAAGTTAATTTTATATGAACGTTACCAGATAGAGATGTTAGCTCATAATCTGGTCGGCAGTGAAGTGTAATATTTCAGTTACAGTTAGCGGCGGGAAATTTTTCGAGCAATTAATCAGTGATGCGGCGGCTAAGACCTCTATTAATGACGTTAGAAGTAAAAGCAATCAGTTGGCTTTCCATCCGACCAATGAAGATCGACAATTTCCTCCAGGTTTAATTTCTTCTCCCGAACTGAAGAATTCTCTGGAATACTTTTTGATCGAGGATTATTTTAGAAAATTTTGTTTATTTCCTTGTTAGAATAATAAAATGTTACACAAAGACTTGAACTGCCGACTTAAATATTGTTTAACAATATTCGCTGGCAATTTCATTAAAATAAACAACTAATTGAATTCAAAACGATGAAAAACTCTTATTTCTTGTTAGAAATCGTGTTTTCTCAAAAGATCGTAGAGCAAAAATCTTAATTTCTCATTCTTTACTCATCTCATTTCTTTTCAAAATATTTTTTCTATGAACAGCTTTCAAAAGTTTTATTTATAACACATCTAGTTTTTTTGCTTCGCTATGTTCCTAGACAACGTGTTTCGTAATGAATAAAATGCACAAACAAAATTCAATGCGATTGAGGGAGAGGTCCTCACGGATTAGGTCCCTGTTGGGTCTTTTAGTAAAGTGATAGAGCTTGATTAAAAAACCTATTTATCTAAATAGTAAAAATATTCTTTTCTATAATATCTGTAAGAAAAATTCTAAAAGGAAAATCCGTTTATTAAGAAAATTAAAGTTTGCGGTTAATTTGATAATTAAAAGATCTTTTCAATAATTTTCTCAATGCAGTTGTCTCATTTTTGAGATTGACTTTCGTTTCAGTTTTACACACATAAGTTTCCAAAAATTTCAAAACTATTTTATTCAAAGTTTAAGAAAAGATAAAAAGAAAACTCCTACACACATATAAAACAAATCAATGGGTTCTATTTAAATCAATTATTTAGTTCAATCTGTCTTTCATTTACCATTGTTAATTACAATGTTTTAATTAATTTATAGTGTTCTTCTGAAAATATGCTCGAACAATGTTATTTGAATTGTCAATTAAATATCGTTCAATCAAATTTACATAACGTGGTGTTAAACCAGCATAGGCATGAACTAAAGTAGAAAAAAAATTAAAGAATGATCCTACAATTACTCCTACCAATGCATGAAATTGTTCTTGAACTAACCAGCCTCTATTGGTTTCAAATATTCGAAAATTACCAGCACCACTTCGTTCGGTAGGCTATCGAAAGTAGACACCATCGAATGGTAATACAAATCTGAAATTAAGTAATAATAATTTAACCGATTCAAACTAAAAATGTATCTGTAATAGTTTACTGTTCGAATTTATGCTTCGTCGCAAAAAGTCTTTCATTTCTTTAAAATACCGGTCAGAAATCTTTAAAACTATCTGTAACACTAGTGGCTTTCTTTGAGGACCAATAGAGACAGAGGAACGAGTTCTAACCGCATGAACATCTCCTTCCACTGCTTAAAAGTTTGGTGTCATGTGCTAGAGAGACATTATTGACAAACTACTTCTAAAGGAGACGAAGGATAGATTGATTATTAAGACAGACGAAAAGAAAGAAAAGGAAGGAGACACGACATTACGCAACCATTCTTCCTTTTACTTTAATCGAGCTCTCACTCGTTCAATGAATGACTGTTTCGCACAAAAGCAAAATTGCCCATGTGCCATTCAGTTAGACGTCTGTGGTGCAACTCTCTCGGTGACTAACAATTCCTTATACCTTAAAGGAGATATCTAGTAGATCTTCTCACTATAAGTGACTAATAGTGTATGTGTGTCTTCTAAATATAACAGCTATACACATTTTCTGAATCAATGTAAATAGACTATATCAAACATGACAAATCTAGTTAGAGATCTGCAATTTGAATGAGCAATCATGGACAATGGACAAATGAAAAAAGTTAATTTTTTAGGCATTTTACGAAACGGTACACTATTTCTTTCACAAAAATTGAGGGAACTACATAATACAGAAAGAAAAGAAAAAATCGGCAAGCTTCCTGCCTTCTGCTGTATTCGTCATCGCCTCACGTGCGAATAAGTAGAGAAAGAAACAAAAAAAAGTGTGCAGTGGTGGATTATACGTGTTGGAGACAAAACTAATTGATACGGACAGTTGTTCGTATTGGTCGTTTATGGAGATAGACGGCAAAAAATTTTCCACGCATATCACCCGAAAAAAAATAAAGTTGGTTTTGAGTTGCTAAAAAGTGCTTTTTCGTATTCAACACACTCGACAACCCACAGGGTTTGGCGTGAGATACTTCCAAAAGTTTAGGAAAAATTTTGAAACGAATATTATTTTCCTATGGAAAATTTTTTGTGTCATTTTGTTGGCAAAATTTTCCTAAACTTTTGAAAAGTACCCCTCGCCAAAAACAGAAAATCTTGTGGGTTGTCGAGTGTGCTGAATACGGAAAAGTACTCAAAACCAACTTTATATTTCGGTTCCGTTGATATGACTTCACTCATATCAATTAAGATTTGAAATCTTTTTCAATGATCACCCGAAAAGCATATGATCAGGGTGCTCAAATCCAATTTTTCGAAATCAGGAGTTTTTCGTAAAATACCAGGAGTTGATCAGAAGATTTTTTTCGAAATCAGGAGAAAAACAGCAGAGTGTCAGACAGTTTTTTCTTGGACAAGGAAAATTTTCATTCCTACGAACGCTTGTGACTTTTTTCTATTAAATAAGTAATGAGAACGTCTGCCTTACAAGCGAAACAAAGGAAAACAGACAAATATAAACACATATAGTTGATTCTACTGGTATTTTCCCAGCTGCTGATTTAACAGCCCTAGTCGACTTTCCCTATAAGAATACCTGGGGAGTCCCAAAGAAGTCAAGCAAAAAACTGGAACTTCGCTTGACTTCTTTGGGACTCCCCAGGGATTTCATCATCTGTCGTGACTCCTCAGGGATTCTTATAGGGAAAACCGACTAGAGCTGTTAAATCAAAACAGACACAAATATTTCTTAAGAAACCGACAAGAACCAAAAAACAGCAAAGACGATATGGAGAACAAACTGTTTGCTACACCGTCTGTGGTTTTTTGTGCAACATGACGGTATTGCATGGAAGTTCTCTTTTTCTTCTCTGCTTTTTTATTGGTCCAAAATGTCGTTAAAATCGATACAGGAAAACAATTGAAAATCAGGACAAAATCTCCGAAATCAGCTCCTGAAATCACGAAAATTTTCATCAGGAGAAAAGTAAAATAATCAATAGTCTCCTGGTCAAATCAGAAGATTTGGGTGCTCTGCACTTGATGACCAGGACGAAGAGATAATCGAATTTCAATTTGTTTAACAAATTGACAAAGTAACACACTTCTGATTTTCTTAGACTATAACACAAAAACAAGTACATGCAACGAAAAGATTTTTAGTTGTATAAGAAAGCTCTTCATTCTCCTAGAAAATAAACACTTTTTATCTAAGTCTCAGGAGCCTGTTTCTTAAAAAACTTAAGTTAGACAGCGGTCATGCGGTAAAAGCCATTCGTATTTAGACAACTTATATTGTTTTATAGCAGTGTTCTGAACAAAATCTCTGAAAAATTATGTTCAGTATAATCATGGTGGGTTGAATGGGTTACGGACTTCAAATAAAGGACTTACAAAATTTAAACAATTTTCTACTTAAAAGCTTAAAAAAAAATTAAGGGAGATCGAGAGATGACTTAAGTTAAGTAATGTTTGAAAAACACACTTAGCTAAAGAATTTGACTCAAAACGAAATTTTTCACTTAAGTTTTTTTAAGAAACTGGCCTCAGACTCCTGGAGTTTATGAAAGAGAGTGATGATGTAGAGGAGTATGTCAAACAGAAGAATGGGAATACTGACTTCATCAAACCTGAAACAACGACGCATATACATTGATTCGACGAAGATCAACAGTTTGCTATATGTAAAACGTAATATTCCTATATTGAAACCACTAGTATGCAAGCACAAGAGATAGAAGCACAGTTGGGGGTATCGATCTATGGAAAACTTAAAGCAAGTCTTGTTGTCTCATCAATGCTGCTTAGATAAGACCTCTTCCACGAAAGAAGTTTTGTCTTTTGAATGCCGTAACGTGGGTTCAAACCATCGAACTTCACTCTACAAAACTGCACAGGTCTCAAGTCTCCATCTATCATGGCTCAGTCGTTTCCCAAAGACCTACCTATCGAAAATTAAAAAACTTATAGTTCAATCAAAATCGATCCAAACTACTCCAAAATTTCAACATATACTCCATTTTATCTGATGTATATTCCAGATTTTAACAAAAGTTTTAAGAATCAATAGAAAGTACTTGGTCTTTGAGAAGGTTTTCAAGACACCTTTAAAAATAAGGAAATGCTTTTTTCTAATCTTGATTGCAGAATCAGATTCGGACGACAAAATGGCGTATATGTTGAAATTGAACCGTAGTTTGAACCGAATAATAGTTAGTTTTAATTTTCTTTTGTGCAGAAGAAGAGACCTCTTTTCTCTCACTTGCAACTATAAAAGCTACCTGTAGTACTCATCTCGAGTCGATCCGCATAGCAAACACTTAAACTAACAAGACAGTTTATTTTTTGTTGACTTCTTACCAATTCAGAAACGCATTTTTCTTATGAGGAAAACACCGACAAATAAGTTCGGTTCACAGAAAAACTCCAACATATGTACTAAGTCAAATAGAAGAGGCAAGATTGTAACAAAATATAGAGCAGAAAAAGATCAAAAGAAGATACAATATACAACATAAAAAAAAATAAACAGAAAGTCAAATCTTGAAAAAATAAAGAAAAATAAGTACACAAACATTAAAAATTGGCATGTTTCAGTCGTCAAAGATGCTCACGAGTCGTTCCAACACACAAACACAGATAATCATGAGTGCCATTTTATTGAAATCTATCAGTAATGTTATGGCAGATAAATATCAAGGCTAGGCTGATCATAAATAAATACCAGGGAGCATTTGATAATATATTTCCGCTGGATGTTATTCGAATTACACCGCATGCCAATCTTATACCTGCATGCCTACAAAGAAAGAAGAAAGAAATTGAGTTTTCATTTTTAGTATTTAAATGAACGACAAAAATAATACAAATTAAAAAGAATAACTGTGTTGAACCCAACCTTTACGTACCCTGTTGTATTACTATCTGTACTATTTCCTAGTCCATTATCATCGGTCATTTGATGAACAACAAGTGTACGATTTGCAATTGATTGTGTTTGATTGTACAACTGAATTATATAATCAATAATATTTATCGTAGCAGTACCAGAACCATCAACCCAAACATTTCCTAAATCGCCCACATGTCGGTGATCAATTGTAAAATTTTGCCCTCCGTGCAATTTATTGTAGGGATTAAAATGTCCATCTAAAAGTCAGACATACAAACATTTTAAACAAAGTCGATCATAGAGGTTCCAAGGTTAAAAAGATAGTTACTGGC